TTCCTATCTGTCTTCCTATCTAGCATTTAGTACCCACCACTGTAGTAGCCAAGTGCATTCATAGGGAAGAGAGAGATTGCCTGTTTTCCCTGTTGAATTACAGTAGTAAACCAGAAGAATATTAAGAGAGATATAGATACTTAGTTTTGATAGATTTCTGGCAGTTGAGATGCAAGTGATTTGGACTAATTGGAGATGGTAATACTTTATCCAGTAAAGCTGCTATGGTATCTTCAGTTGACCAAATCATACTGAATGAAGGAATCCTTTCATATCCTGTTACTCAAAACTTGATCATGCTGGCTTAACTCCTGAGAGGACAGACACTTCGGAGACCTGATATTTCAAACAAAACTGAATACTGTGATAAGAGAGCAAGCCTTAGTTTAAGTTTTATACATTAAAACTAGGATACAGGAACCATGTCTTCCTCAGTACGTGCTGTATGGTACCAAGCATACCATCAGCACTTCAACAAAATGGGGAGAGTGGGGCTAATGTGTCGTCATCCCCCCCCCCCCGAAATGCACACTTTTTTTTCTTTTTGTACAATAAACTAAATGAATCTATTGGATAATTTACCCCTGGTTCAACTTACCATTGTTCTGATTTCCTGACGACAACCCCTTCCCCACCCTTTAGTTAACTCCTGATAGTTGGTCACTATTTGTATTCACATTAGAGTAGCAAATTAAATGATTAATTGGAAAGTGGTTTTCTTGTAAGTAAAGATTTGCAAAATAAAGTCAATCTACTTATGTTAATCCCTCCAAGGATTCATATAAAAACTACTTAATTATTTTGAGATGTGTCTGGATTACCAGCATGTTTCTTAACCTCATTTTTCAGAAATTTCCCTTTCTATGAGTAAGGGAAAAAAAATTGATCTTTACTCTTACGTTTCAGTTTGTGAAGGGGTGTTTCACTAACAAACGTTTAATTGAAATCTTTCTAATAACTTCCTCGTAGGCAAAGATTGAAGTCATCCCTGAATTCCATATTCATTTCCACATCAATTTAATCTTCCACTGCTTTTTCCCTGCATCCAGTCTTGATGAAGCCCTCTGTAACCAAATAAATGTAGAATTTTATATGAATCATAAATTTATTTTTCACTAAATAAGTTTTTAAGCAAGAAAATTTTGAGAAGCGGTTGCATGACTAGCAAAAGTATATGAGAGGCAAGGATTTCTTTGGGCAGTATTTTTTATTGGACCAACTGTATAGTTGGGATAGAGCTAGACAAGCTTTCAAATGGAAGACATTCTTTTTCTCAGGAAGTAATTCTTCTGAAGAAGAATGTAAGGCATTCTTTTGCAGAATTCAGACCTTTGAAAGCTTGTCTAACTCTATCCCAACTGTGCAGTTGATCCAATAAAAGAGATCATTCAAAGAAATCCTTGTTCCTTGCACAATTCCTGGGCCATCACAGCTACAGCATCACTTCTAACTAGCTAAAGTATAGTAATCTGTGGTTTTAAACTGCCTTTAACATGTCACATGTTGCTTTTGATCAACAGCATATTAGTAACGGTAGTAAGTATTGCAGCAAAGAGAGATGCAGCAGCTGCATGCAGTTCTTTTTACTTCTCTTAAAAATAATTTCCTAGACTCATGAACTCTGTAGTGATTCATGACCTAGCAGTGCTCTAAAACCTTTGTTCTGGTTGTATCTCAGCTCTTCAAGCTTGTTCCCACCCCTGTACCCCCCTTCAAAAAATCCTTAATGTTAATGATGGGATGGCTTGTGCCTCAATTTGCTTTTCCTCCCCTCTCTGGGAGGATTTGTTAGGTTCATATTGAGATGATAATTTACTGTTTATTATATTAATAAGCATTCAGCTGTCATTACCTGAATGTACATACTTGAACCTTTGTAAATCTCAAGGGAGGCAGTGTAGCATAGTAGAACCAGTAGTAGACTGAGAAATATTATTTCCTTCTGCCACTAGATGACTTTGGGAAATCATGGTCACCTCACCAGTGCCCTTGTATTTAAAGGGGGGTGATGACACTTTTAAGTGCTTAGACCCTACGTGTGAAAAGTGCTGTACGAAAACTAGATGGTAAATACAGTATTACAGAACTAGGGACTTCTCGTCATCATAAATTTGGGTAAATATGGTAAAATAAAACACACTGACTAAGTCGTGATCACATATTCCATTAGTACTTTCTGTGCTCCAGTGACCTGTTCCTTAGTTTTAATCTGATACAACCCCTAGTTTCCCACTGAAAAGATACAAGTTTCTTAAAAATCAGTTCTCAGAACAGCAAGGTACAAAACCTTTATTGAAAACAATATAACAGCATATTGGTCAGTGGTCATATGTTCAACAAGTTTATCAAAAATCTTACCACTTTTGAGCGGTTCAGCAAATACATACTGGTCCAGTATTTTCTGACAATAAAACTGAACTGGCAGTTGTCAAGCTAAATTCTTAAACTATTAAAAAAAAAAAAAAAAAAAAAAAAGTCTTTACCACATAGAACATGTGCTGAGAAACCAAGTTCCTGCCTGGATCATACCTTGTTCATTGTTTATTACTGACTTTCCTTTAAAGCTTTGCCATATCTACATTTTTTTTTTTTTCCTGGTTACCAAATCCATGTGAGACCTTATTTCAAATGGACATTGCTGAGTTGGAGGAACCATTGGAGTTTTTCCTTCCTGAAGGCAGAATCTGTATTTATTACAGGTGAGGGAAAGGCTCCCTTGCCTCTGGAGGAAGTCAGTTTGTGCTTGAGCACATGCATAGCTCCATTCAAATCATGTGCCTGAGGTTACCCTCATGCTTAGTGCTTTTCTGAAGTAGACCTAATCTCTGAAAGGGCAGCCTGCTGAGCAGCTTACAGGTTGGTGCTAGGCAGCACTTCTGCTAGCTGAGTAGTACAAAAAGAGGCAAGTGTACAGGGCAGAAGTCAGATACCAAAGCAGAAATGTCATATATAAGTGACCGTGACCTAGAAAAACAACTGTGACCCTGCCGCATTCTCTCGTGCACATGAGCTTGCCAACTCATGGTTTCCACTGGTTTCAAATGTTAGGCACTCGAAGGCCTGCCACAACAGAGGGCTCTTTAAACATGGGGCTTTCCCAGGCCAGCTGTGTAGCTTTTTTAACCCACTAAGCCAGCCAAGCTCTCATTAGCACGTCTGCTTTTACTGTATGCTGCTTTCAGTAACAAAACATACTGCTTGAAAAATCGTGCCAGTCACCACGATGTTTTGGCCAACTTGACTTAGACAGATGTATACTAGCAGGAACCACCCAGTCAGAAATGAAGTCAGAGATCAATATCCTTTAAGCTTTACATGTTTTCAGTTGATTTTTGTAATGGTCTATTTCAAATAGCTCTGCATTTCCTTCACAAATAATTACTGTTTGCAGCTGGCTACCTGGAAGAGGAACTGGATATCTCGTTTTGCCCAGTTAAATCTGTGACTTCAAATCCCAAACTACTTTAACTTAAAATTCCTAGGTTGTCTAATAAAACAGATCCTATGTTCCTAACTCCTCTAATACTTGGTCTAATCTTCCTTCCTTCTTGTCTTCCTCACTGGCCTGTACGTACTGCAGTCTGTATAGCTAATGTACGTATACAAACTGTAATCAGCTGACAGGTGTTTTGTAACAGAGTATGAAAATGATACTGTAATTTTATAACCATATTCAATTTTATCTTCCTTGTTTGAAAGTGGTAAACTAAACAAAATGTTTTACTGTGGGATAATTATGTGGTCTTTGGGAAATTCCACCTTGTTACTGTGTTCTAAGTTAAGGCTTTTGTTTTATTTTGATTTCCAGGTTACACACCAGCTTTAGCCTGTGCTCCCAATAAGGATGTAGCTGATTGTCTTGCTCTCATTTTGGCCACAATGATGCCTGTTTCCTCCAGCAGCACATTACCTTCCCTTACATTCAATGCCATTAATCATTACACCAACACCTCAAAAACTGTTACCTTTGATTCCTTGCCAATCATGAGGAGTGACCATAGTTCTTACTGTAGTTTCAACAACATTGGCAGGGAAGATGGCTACCCATATACAGAAGAGGATGAACTTAATGACTCAGACTCTGAGACCTATTAAGAGGCTTCTTTTGACGATCTGGAGAGTGAACAGTCGTTGGAAAGTCAGTCATGCTTTTGAACAAAACATTTAGTTTTGGATACAAAGGACAGATCCATGAGAAGAAACTTTTATTGGGGTGCATATGAAAGATCTGTGAGAGACTTATTTTAAAGCATTGCAGAAGAAGCATAAACACTTGGAATCCATGGCAAAAAAGAAAAAAAATAAAGAATGTCAAAACCATTTTATTTAATTGTATTTTACCGTTTTGTTTGTGGTGCCAGGAGTAATTTCTGCAGACTGTGCACCCCAGTCTATGTAAATGAATGACACTATTGTACAACAAAAAGGACACTAGATTTAAATCTTATCAATAAAAACTAAAACCATTTTGAAGGCAATAAACGAGTTTGGTACAGTAGGCATTGTTTTTGCAGCAAATTGCCAAAGGACCAAATAACCTAAAGATTTTTAAATACCTTTTTGTGGAAACTGGAATAGGTTAATTGAGGAGTTGTCTTAACTAAACCTTAATTACTTCTGGAAGTGAAGCTCAGATTTGGTTTTAAATGTTGAATTCTTTTTTTTTCTTTATCATCCTAAAAACTTTCAGATGCTCTTAAATGTACCATGAAAATAGCAGATGTATTTTTCAGTTTCTTTTCCTTCTAAATGAAATGGAAATGAACTTGTCATACTTTTATAATACTAAAATGAAAACCAGCTAACAAGGTGCAGTCAGGGTGATAATGTACAGTGTAATAAACAAGGGATGGGGGGAGGGAAGCGATAATTGTTGCACAGTTTTAGATTTTTAACTTTTGGTTTTTGAATTGAGATTATTTAAAATTAAATGAAAGGGTAATTACTGGGAATGTGCAAAAAATACAAATTTAAATTAAATGTCTTGACAACCTGTTGTAGCTGCAGTTTCATAGGGAATGATTTTTTGACAATTCACCCACTTTACATCATAAAATTTGTACGTGAAATCAAATCAGTGTTTCCATTGTAATTTTTTTTTCAATCCTGGATTTGAGTTAAAAGGAATTCAGATTTTTCAGTACTGAAAAGGTAGAGTGTCAGATCTGGAAAGAGCTATATATCTGTGTTGTGCTCCATTTAGAAAAACAACAAAAGCAGGTCCCTGTAATGTACTTCAAACTTGCCCTAAGATTTTTTATTATTATTATTTATAGCAGACTACTGTTTTTTTAAATATATATTGCCTGAAGAATGAAAGACTGACCCACAAGCTGAAGTTTGTTTGTTAAATATGAGTATCTACTTTATTTGACTCTGCTTTAACTATAACTGTTACTTTTCAAGTGAAATTGTTTATGTACATGCAAGGAATCCTTGCATGTCCCGGCAAAGTACAAATAAATTACTATGAAACGATTCCAATTTTCCTTTTATCCTTTTTGTATTGTGTAACTGGAAACCTTGTTGCTATTGTACATTGATCAGCTGGTTTTCTGAACATAAAGTGTGGAAACAGGACAATATTTTGATCTATTTGATAATTTTGTGGTTTTTTTGAAGAATTAATGAGCATGTACATAGAAATAGTGACTGCTTGAATACTGTAATTACCTGCACTCTTTCAGTACATCCAGATTCCTGTATATTTTACGGAGTATAATAAAACCCAGATGTGAGTTGTATTAATGAATAATTTATTCGTATCTGTGTACCATACTTAAAAACTAATGGCAAAGTTTCTTCTGTTGAATAACTTTTAGAATTTATAAAATCTATTTTACAAAGGCTTTGCTGTCCTTTTACTTCAACGGTAGAGGCAAATGGTTCAGATTTACAGTAATTTTTAAAGGAAAAGTTAAGTACTGTTTGGTTACTGATGTTTAAAATCGAGACTTACTTGTGAATGATGCTTTGTTTCCCTGGTGGGGGCAGTTGTTTATGAATATTGATTTTTGAAAACAGCTTATGATTCTTCCACAAAATTAGATGCTTTTTATAGAACTCCTCTTTAAATCTTCTTTGGGATTTTGGTACAGAAATAAATGGTAATGGAGATCCAGGAAGCATATTCAATTTTCACTTGTTTTTTGCCACACTTTACTGTATCTAATTAACTATTTCCCCAGTATCCTGAAAACTTCTCTTCATATTTTACTAGGTACACACTAAAATCATATTGCCCTGGGGATTGTAAAAGGTTGCTTTAAGTTTTAGCCAATATGCTCGTTAATGTGCCCTTAAGAAGTTGTGCAAGTTAATGATAAGAAAACTGGATTTAGAAATATTTCATGTAAACTTGAGAGCCACTTGATTTAAAAAAAAAAAAAAAAGTCATCCAGGTATGTGTCAGTTATTTTATCAATAGCAGTTTCCTGATCACCTGTCAAAGAAGTTTTATAAACATCCTAAAAAGGTTTTGGAACTGCTAGAGTAAAGCATGATGTTTAGACTCTGGAATATTAGTTTAATCTTTCAGCATGAAGCAATCACTGTTTGCATCATATGGGGAGAAATGGTTTGCTTGATATGTGAGGAAAATCAGGGAAAAATGACAGTAGCTGAATCAGGATAAGCTGTTTAAAATAAAGGGTATTATTTTTTATCCGGAACTGATTGCTCGTGTGTTCAAAAGTGATTGGAGATTGTCTTATAGTAAGAGTTTCGAAAATATCCAAGGAGCAAGTGTTCAGTGCATATCCTTTCACAGCATCTAATGAAGTGTGCTTTCAGCCCACAAAAGTTTGTGCTATAAATAGGTAGGTAGGTAGATAGGTAGATATATGCACTTTGGTTGGTTTATAAGTTGCAAATCTACCTGGCCTTTTAAGTTTGCACATCTAAGGCCCCTGCCAGATATTAATATAATGGCACAATTAGGATCTGAGGAAATTTGTATCCCATCCCAAAAGTTGGGCATCCTGCCAGTTCAAGACCTTAGGGCTACCCACCACCTGATCAAGCAGGGAGCAACTGTGCCTTGCACCTAGCGTATGTATTCATAAATACAATTTAAGGTGGGTTGCGTATTCAATTTAAGATGCAATACAAACCAGCCAGAAAGATGTTCCATGTTAAATGTTTTGGCATTTTATTGTGCTATTAACTGGTTGAACCCATGGCATGTTGCAATTCATTACCCAATTAACATGTTAATATTGCAATAAATGTAATGCCTCCCATGATCCCTAAAGTACATCCCACTTAAAAATTTAGGCCATCTGTTCCCAAAAGAATCCTCTTGCTTCAGCTGGCATTGCTAACTTTGTTCTGTTTGTGGTAAGAAACTTAAATATATATATATGTTCTATTGCAAAACAGAACATTTTTTTCAGGCATGAACCTCTGTCCTATTTTGTTCCTTATGATTGTATACATTTTAATTAAAGCTGTTTTATGAGCTTGCTATATTTGGGTCTAAAATGTTTGTTCCCTTATTGCTGTTAAATGAATTGTTAAATCTTTAGGAATTTAGAATTGCAGTAAGCCACATAATTTGAAACTCCCAGCAGAAAATGAACCATAGCCAACATTTAATGAGTTCAGACTTTGAGTTCTACATATCTGGTTGTTTTCTTTTTCACAGAAACTCCTTTATGCTGCCTTGTAATTTTGAGGGGGCTTTACCGATTCCTTAGTAAAATGAAGATCAGACACGCTGTTTGTAAGAATATGACATTTTATTCCAAAAAGGAAAAATATGAATGCAAATATATGTTTAAGGATCACGTTGCTCTGGTTAAAGGTGGGTTTTTCTCAGTGAGAGGTCATGGTATGAAATGTTCCTTGTTTACATAAAACAAAGTAAACCTGCCTGTAGAGGCAGTCTTTCATATTTATGCCCAAGTCAAATTTGTTTCCAAATGTTCAGTCTGAATGGAGATTTGATTTTTTTTTTCTTCTTTCCAGAGAAAAGCGTTGCATATTATTGACTCTTCCTAATTTAATTTTTTCACATACAGTTTAATAGCACAATATTGCAGCACCCTTCACTCAAGAAACCTTGGGATTATTACTAAGACTATCCTTGGCATTCCATGTTATCAGAGGACCTCTGAAAACTTTCTACTATTCAAATATTTATGCTTTGCTGCCGCAAGGCAGCAGAGTGACTTGGCTCACAAAAGCAGTGTCTGAATGTACTTTCTAAGGTTGAAGGTAGAAGATACTTAAAAGAATTAGGTTAACTATGACAAAAAAGATATTGTTCTTGCTACTTGCCTTTGTACTCCTCCCTCCACCTCGAAATTACTCCAAAAAACTGTATTGTATGAATGGAATAACAAGCATCCCAGTTCATATGTTGGTTATATAATATTATAGAATCTTGTTTGTATACACAATTTCCCTAACTCCTCTTGGATTTTTGTCTTAAATGGCACTATTTTTTAATGCCATGGTTTGAACCTTTTACCTACAGCTGAGCAGTAGTTACCAAGAATCAGAAGCTGAACCAAGTGCTGCATGACTGACTGAAAAAAGGCAGGAATGTCTCAGTTTTTCATCTGGTTCTCCAGCTCTACAATTCCTTAGCCCAGTAATTCTGTTTTTAAAAGGAAATACCAGTCTGCTATACCCCAGAGATTCTAGCAATTAGGACACAATGCTTATAGCAGTTATCTAGCACAATGCACTCTTTGCTCTGGAGGGGGGAAAAAGCTTGCAATCTTTAAAAAGAAAACAAAAGAAATCTAACAGGTTTTTCAAGAGCACAAGCAGCTTTCTCCAAGTTTTTATTAGGAGAATGTGTGTTCTCCTAATAAAAACAACTCAGAGAAAGCTGTTTCAGGGCAGGCCTGCAGAAGTCTTATAAATGAAAAGGATAACCCCCAAAGTATCACTTCTTTTCTCTATGGAGTTGTCTGACATCCTGTGCATAATCAGATGATTCTTGACAATGCTGAAGTGTCCTGAGCACATCTGTTTACAATGGTGTATTAGTGGTAAGTACAATTAATAAATAATTAGGATTCAAATGATATCTGTTAAAATGGACAGGTCTGCATATTTGTGCACCCCTTTTTCATAGACCCAGTGATTCCTAACCAGGGTGAGGAGGCACCCTGAGGTACCGCCAGATCCTTTGATGGATGCCACAAGGTGTGAGGAGACAAGCAGATGTGCCAGACTTAGGCTCCTTCCCTGAATGGATGATCCCCCACCCCTACAGCCCAGACCCACATAACGAGGTAAGCACTGTAATATAAAAATTAGGTTTTGAAATTGGGTGCCACCCAATTCACAAAGAATTATGGAGGTGTGCCTAAAGTCCAAAAAGGCTGAGAACCACTGCCACAGATAGTACTGGGAGTGCTGCAGATGCCTCTGACAGGCTGCAGGTACGACAGGTTCACTGTAAGCACCTTCTATTAATTCTGCCTTGTCATTGCTGCAACTGCTCCCTCCTGCATTGGGAATGATGGCTTCTGTCATGTGGACACCTCTCACCCCTTCATTTACTGCAGTGCTATCAAACAGCTGCTTAGATGGCACGGCTTCTAGTCATACTGCCTTGGCTGGTATAACCCACAAGGGGGTGGCTCTTTAATTAGCTAGCTACCCTCCTTCCCATGCTCCTCCTCATCATGAACCAAAGCTATTTTAATAGCCAACCCCCAAAGTTAACGTGAACCTGTTGGAGTTGGTTAATTTCTACTGTATGCTCCTTTTATGTCTGTTTGAAGAAATTTGGTGATTCTGCCCCTCAACAATGGTCAGTAAAGCCCAGTCTGTACCACCCACAGGTGGAGCCGCAGAGCAAGATGTAACCTCTACTCTGCCTACATTTCCTCCAGACTAGAAGTAGAGCTGCCAGCTTAGTGCAGTATAGAGCTGAAACTCGTGTGGATGTTCAGTGATTAAAGAAACTCCCTCCCATTTCTCCACTTTGTCTGGAGATTCAGCAGAGTAAATATTACCCGTGCCTGCAACCGGAGGTACTAATTACCATAGACCCAATAGGAAGAGGATTGATGACCATTTGTCTGAAAATCCACTCTGGGAAGTTGCATTTGCTTTCCTTATTTAGGTCATACCTGTATGTGACAGTTCAGGACCTGATTATTGCTATGATTAATGGGAAAGATTGTGGGTAAAAATGAAAAAATAATTGGGGAAGCAACTTCTTTAAAGCACGCAAGTCTGAGTTGCCTTTCTACATCTGAGAGGAACAGAAAAGGACTAAAAGTCCTTGAGTTGCTTTTTTGCTTCACAGTTCACCTTTAAAATATGAATGCTATGGATCAACACAGACTAAGATAAAAGGCCTACTGTCATGAAGAAATTGCTGTGGAATGAGAGTGCAGACTTCAATACAATCTAGGTTTGTAGGTTTTACTTCAACAGTACAGCAATGTGGCCGTTGTTCAGGCTCCTATTACATTATGCTTCATTTTCTGTGAAGGAGGTTGCTTATAATCTGCATTTGCTTACTCTCAGTATTTTTCAAACTCAGGTGGTAAGAGAGCTCCTTGAAGCATTTGAGCACATAACTGTAAAACTGATAACCTTAATAATACACAGCCTTAATGGGGCTCTTTGAATCATATTTATAATCACTGCAATGCCATTAGGTGCTCAAGAAAAGAGAAGACATCTTCAGCTCACCATTTTTCTTCAATAATGCTCAGATGGAAGTACCAAAGGAACTGCTGTGTGGATTCAAGTACAGGTGTGAAAAGGCTTCAAGAAGCTTTTAGTTTTCAGGTAAGTTTTCATTCCTACTTAGCTGAGAATCCATTCAGTTCCAGTAAAAACTCAAGGCAGAGTAAATTTGAGGGCATGCTGCCATTTAAAACTATCGATACAATATAACCTAAAACCCCAAATTCTATGCTGCCAAACGGACAAGAGTTCCAATCACTAGTCACACTTGTTACCAGCTGCAGATTTGCTGTCCACGCCTCAACCACTCAAAGCATAAAAGTCTGAAGGATCAGCACCTTGCAATTCTTTGTGGCTGCTGAAAGAATAAGCTGTCAGCTCATCATCCTCTGTTATGCTTTTCCTGAGTCTCGCTAAGTGCTATTTTACATAGTGAGAATTGATAGTTGTTAAAAATATTAGTTTTTGTTACACTATTATTTTGGCATCGTTCCATTTATTATTATCCCCTCTTTCCCAAGTCAGCCAAACTTGGAACATGTTTTTTCTCTTCTGGTTCTGTCATCCAGCCTCAGCTGCCATGTTTGAATCACTTCAGAAAGATTACTTCAAACCCTCTGTTTCATGCAAGGCCAAGAGATCCATTGTGGTCATATCTTTGGTGCCTAGTTGTCTCAGCCAGACAGGTAAGTTAGCAGAGCAGAAGCGGAACTTATAAATACTGCGATGGCTACTGTAACTTCCTAAGGTTAATTAGTAGAAGCTATCTAGTCAACAATATTCTGTTTTAAGTATTGGGGCTGCCTGCCTAGATAGCTTTATCTTTTGCCAAAGCAGTTTCAAGATCCTTCGTTCATGACTAACCAAGTCAGGCTCTTGCTGAAAATGAGATCTACTCATCTATGTGCTAAATATTACTTTAGCCCCAGTAAAACTGTGTCAAATCTCATAGTCTTGACTTTGTGTAAGAAAATGTGAAGGTCTTTGTTCAAAGGTGCTCTTCACTTAGAAAGCAGACTGAAAGTTCAGCATGTCAACTTCTCAGCATCAACACTTTATTACTAGGAGGACAGAGAAGAGACGATGCCGTGCTGATTGGCTTTGTCATGAACCTACAATATTTTGCGGATTCATTGAATATTGTGCATAGATGGCTTCATGAATTAGGTCTGTTGCTACAGTGGGTAGTCTGTTTATAGCTAATGATAAACTAGGTTTACGTTTCCTATATGGTATGTGGTCTCCAAAGATGGTTAAGCTGCTGTAACTAGTTTTAGAATTTGTATGCTTGTATGGATTGTAGTAGTTGGTATTAATGTGTGTTTATATTTTTACATAATATGATAATGAAGTTCAGATGTTCCTTTCAAAACTGTGAGGATCACACCTGGGAGAGGATCAAAGCCTAAATAGCTGAGAGGAGTAATCACTGAGAATTACTATTGGACATGGGTTTGTGCAGTGGCCAGCCAAAAGAGTTTCTACTGAGCACAGGTCTCCACAAACAGAGGATGGTGGGGTTACATTCCAAAGGATTATGTAGCAAGGTAGGTGCCTGGAAAATGGGCTATTCAAAGCATGGTAGTTCTTACAGCTAGGGAAAATAAGTGAGACACCATAATTATCTCTGACAGAGGATTAGTGATCTGTTTCTGAAATCTTTGTCCTGATAAAGAATGTTTTGTGTACAGAAATTTGTCTAACTCCATACCAACTATATAGTTGGTCCAATAAAAGATATAACCCTAAGAAATCCTTGCCTATTGCATGAACAGATATAAACATTTTCCTACTTAAAACTGGATCAGGAAAAGCCCCTAACTTGTCAATGGGATGTATAATTGGGGGAAGAAGGGCCAGGAAGTTATATGTCTATTTGTTCCCCAAGAATCCTACAGATGTGACCAGATAAGCACTGCGGTAAGAGCAGTCTTTTTTCTCAAGATTCCTGGGTGCTAGGTACTTTAATCCCCAAGTGCCAAGGGCTGGGTAATGCAAGCTGACAGCCTGGCAGGCTTGATTAAAATTGGAGCTACATTCTTAGGGCTAAGATGCAGGGATAAGACAAAACCATGTATCTTAGTTTTTTGTTTGTTTCTTATTTCTGTCTGTATCTCAGCGTGATTCTCATGACAGCTTTTTCTTTTTATAATAAACCTTTCGGTAATTCCTTCCTTCCTTATCATCAGTGGTAACTGTGATTTCAGAACATTTGTCCATCAGCCAGGTGTCTCTCCAGAGGACAGGATTTTAAATTTCTGAGCACATGCCAGGCAAAATACTATGCTTCTTTAAGCTTTCAAAATCTCTTCCACTAAGAGCTGGCAGGACCTGGGTGAAACAAGTGAAGTTGAGGCCAAAGAGTTGGCTGGCCCCTGGCACGTTTCATTCTGCTCTCAGTGGTCAAGCAGCAGACAGCAGGAGGGTATGGGGTTGAAGGACATCCCTAACAATATAAGAACACCCCATGAAGTGTGTCTGAAAGGCATGGCTGACAGGAGGATCCATGTGCATGTGTGCTACAGGCCTCAACAGCTCCCAAGTGATGTCCAGTAAAGTTGAAAAAGGAGGAGCAGAACTCTGTTGTCTTCCAGCAACATTTTGCTGTTACAGGAAGTTAGTTTACGTGATGCTTCAGCACGTGTTGCCTTGGTGCTGAGAAGACTGAGGACCAAGATTTTGTAATACTGTCTCCAACTTAGAGAGGATACCAGTTTCTTTGTGCTTGCGTTAACAGCAGTAAGACTGGTTTTATTTTTTTTTTTTTCTTGACAAAGCAATGTGGTTCCTTTCCTGGCTATTCCTCTATGAACTTCAGCACTAAAACCTTTCCTGTTAATGGTTAAGTCTCTTGTTCAGGCATCTTAGTCTTAGGGATGGAAGCACGTCAGGATTCTACGTTCTCTAGGTCAAAGCACAGCTTATGATGGCAGCTACTTTTTCAGGCTTTTCTATAGAAAAATGTCATAATTATCCTTTAAATGCAATCTAAGACCCACTCGTTGTAACTGTTTTGACGCTGGATCTGAAATAGTATTTTAATTACATTATGAAAAAAGAATAGTAGCAGAAGAACAACCTACAGGCACTGGTTGGGGGCAAGTGGTGGGGTAGGATCCAGAGTACAGGCACGGCAGGGAGGAACAGATAGAAGGGGGGGGACAGGCAGTGGAGAAGGCAAGTGGCAGGGAGCAAGGCGTTGAGGGGGGGTACGGGCATCATGGCAAAGCAG